ATACCTATATATCTCCCACGATAATCCATCGAGTTGGATTTTGTTCAACATTTTGAAGTTATAAAGAAAAATACAAAGAAGGCTTGCCTATAGCGCACAAAATTGCGTCATAAAAGTACTACATCGGCTCCTCGCAGATATATATCTTAAGTAAGAACATGAGGCGCTTAAACTAAGGATAGTGCAGATGATGTTTCCGTACTCGTGTGTACTGATATATACACTATTATACTTACATTCGAAGCTCAATCAATTCGTGATCTCGTCAGTATCAGCTGCCTATATAACATCTTGTATATATGCTTGAGGATAAAGGCCTGCTTTAAATTCCTACTGCATACCTCCAACAGTAGAGAACTCGTAGCTTTGCGGGTAGTGCCTCAGCGTTACACCGTGTGGTTTCAAAGCACGGTCAAGGGCAGGTTCGTAAACACCAGCTTGTATATGAGCGCACCTACTCTGTTGATCGATTTCCAAAGCCTGATCAAAACGTTGCATGTCTACTGTGATGACACCCTGAAAAACTTGAGAATTTGTTGGCTCTACCCCGCCCACAGTACTTGAGCCACCTGTGTAAATGTGTACCATAGGTTAGTGCGAAAATCGCCCTTGCGAATATCTGTATCCCAAGTAGCACTGGAACTCTCTATGTTTAGGCATGCCTTGTTCAGATTAGATAGAGTGTGTGAGTCATAAATGCGCCAACACGAAGCAGAGTATTTGACGTTTATGTCCAAAACTGTTCACTCAATATCAAATAGTCACAGGTATCTGTACATATTAGGTTTATAATACATATACTTGCATTAATTTGTTTCTATATATTTACTCGCACGAACAATTGTGTTCAAGAACATTGCACATGTACGACGTTGCATTTATTTTAAGTATTTATCTATACATATTTATTAATGAAAAATTCTACATTTTTTAAGTATATATATATATATATATATATATATATATATATATATGTGTGTGTGTGTGTGTGTGTGTGTGTGTGTGTGTGTGTGTTAGTATA